ACGTGGTGGGGGACGTGGGGATCCTTAGCAGCTTAGGCCTGCCAGGCCGACGGGTGCCGATGCTGGTGCGGGCTCCCGGCGGCAGGCAACGCCGCCGCCGGGCACTCAAATGGCATGGGGCACATGGGCCCCCATGCCCGCACGTCTCCCAGGCACATGAAAATACCAGAAGGCTGCACATGTAAGGGTGCATGCATTGCAGGCAGGAGTGCAAAGTGGCCTGCCGCGGCGGTCGGCTGTGCCATTACTCAATCAGCCGCCGCTACTGTGCCGGGCTTGGCGTTCCCATGCCAACATGCCGGCGTACCATCGCGCAATGGCCAGTGAGTGTGTGAGGTGGTGGTGGGGGGGGTGGGGCTGCCGCTGACCGCTGCTTGCTGACGCTGACGCTGCTCTTACCTGCGGGGGGAGGGGGTGGGTCGGGAGCCAAGGCCGGGCAAAAGATGCCTGGGCCCTACTCAAGGGAACCGGGGGAGTCACTGCGCCAGGGCAGCAGCATGCTCCTCATGGCACCGGTCGGCAAACCGGGCCAGCCGGCCCTGCCTGGCCTGGCCGAGGAAGGCGGCCAGGGAGGGCAAGGCGTGGCCGGGACTGTGGAAGAGCTCAGCATACTCCTCCCTCAGCCCAGCGTATAGGGGGCAGTCATACACTGCGTGGCGCACGTCCTCTAGAGGGGCCTGGCAGTGGGGGCATGGGCGCTGGGTGCGGTCCAGCCGCTGCCACCGGCCTGTCTCCTCAGCCATCCAGTGCGACCCCGTGCGCCACTGCGCCAGGCGCACCCGGCGCCGGCGCTCGGGCACATCGCACAGGAACGACGCAGGCGTGTAGGCCTCCGCAGAGATGCTGCCCCCCCACACGTCCTCAATGTACCGCTGCACCTTCACGGATGCATGCGTGTACGAGGCAACATGGCGCTCCAGGAGCGCTTCCGCCAATTCAGGTATGGCAACCCCCTCGTCAGCAGTCAAGTCGCAGGGGGCGCCGGCCGCCGCGAGACGCGGCTAACCTGCGCTGCCCAGGGCTGCCGGGCCA